ATAATTCGTTTTTAAAAAATAGTGCAATTATTTTTTTATATTTTTAAATATTCGCAGGACAGTAAAACGATTACCTTGAAAACGGACTGTTGTACTAAAAGCAAAACATCTGGTCATATTATGCATAAATCATTATATAAATGATCTGTACAATAAAATGCAAAGTAGATTAAGTAAATTAAACAGAAAAACAAGATTCAAACAGAAAGAAAAAATTACAGGTATTTTCAGCCCTATTTGAGATACTATTCAAGAGTACATATAATTCATAAATAAATAAATGAATAAAAAATTGATAATTGTATCATGAAATCGAAATACATAAAATGCTGCATTATGCTGAGATAAGCAATACATAGAACATGTAAGCAATACATAGAACATGTACGTATGCTAAGAGATATATAAGGAAAGTTGTGCTTGTGTATGCAGGAATAATCACAGTGATCATATCATCTTTCTTTGTTTAACATTGGCAAACAAGCATATGATTCATTGTGTCACACCGTGTCTTATGTGTCGCTTGTTGGATACATAAAGCGGATCGGCATGCTGGCTCTGAACGCGTTCAGAGTATGTACTCATTGCCTTATTACCTGGTGTGTTGCCTTCCTTAAATTTGTGCTTGATTAGCTTGAGGCTGCAAACAGTCGTGAATTGACAAATTAAGTCTTCAGTAGAGCGAGTTAACGGGGAGAAGATAAGTGTTTTCGCGACCAGCAATGCACCGTGTCGATCGCGTCGACTAGGCGACGCGCAAACAACACCACTTACAAATCATTTTTCCCATGCTTATCCCATGACTTCCACAATTCTGTATGCCATACTTTGCTGGCCATATTCAGCGCTCTGGTCCGTTTAAAAAAAAATGGAGCTTCGAGCGTGCACCGGGAATTAAAAATCAACTCGACATCGCAGGTTAATAGGGAGAGAGTAAGTATTTTTCCCTTCCATTCGCCACTACGGCTATGCCAGGCTATACCGAAGCTAATAATGAGTGCGTCCTCGAAGTCCACAAAATATGACCCGAATCTTCAAGCCCAATGTCCACGATGTTAGAACTCGGATCGAGTTCTAGCATTGTGAACATTGGACTTAAGAGAAATGAGATTGGATAATTTTCTTTACGCAGTTATGCAAGTGTGTATGGATATATCTTAAAGGTGCAATCACACGGTCCTGGAACTGTCCGGACTGCGGAATACAGAATGCATCATTGAAGCAACCAATCAACGCTATTCCTCTTTTCCATCATGCAATTTGTGTTCATATGATGCATCAAAGATGTATTCAGCATGAATATAATTAATTTCAAAACTATTATCTTCATGTCAATAATTTGCTTATTAAAATGAAATATAATTTTTCGAATTGTAAAAACAATTATCACTGTTGCAGTATTTAATGTTTTACAATTAATATTTACAATCTCATAATACAATCTCAATTTTTTGAACTGTTTCAACGCATTTATTCATTTATTCATTTACTTATCATTTTTCCGCATCGTATGAACATAGTACACAAAACTGGCGTGATGGAAAAGTGCGGAAAAGAGCACACTGAAATCGCATCATCATTGCACGTAATGCATCATTGTTTTTTTTATCTTGGTATCTATATTTATGCACTCAGATTTTGTCATTTTGCTTCATTCGTCTCGATATTACGCAATTCTATCAATCAGCATCAAATTATTTTAATCTCTCAAAATACGACGATTTATTACAATGACGCACTCGCTATTCCGCAACATCAAATGCGGAACAGCGCTGAGTGGTTGTTTTAATGGCCTATTTTCTAGTTCGACGAACAGGGGAATACTCGACTGTAGTTGGTTCTTTTTCTAATCTCAAATAATTTCATTCTAATCCGGATTAAATCCTCGATGGAATATAAATTAACGTAAGTGAAAAATAAATTCTCATCAATATTGAATTAAATATAATAATTTTTTAATCAGAAATTGACTAATATTATACAGAATATAGAATAATTGAAGAAATCCTCGTTTAGAATGACGTTTTATATGAAATTGTTGATTAAGTTGATTCTCGATAACAATCGAAGAATTAAATACAATTTTACAATTATGGACTTTCAAACTTCTGATACTTATTTCGATCCGTAATATCTTAATGCAGGAATAACTAAATAAGATTAGTCTAGAGCGATAATGATGTTTATTATGTATCATATGTTAATTCGTTGGATGGGATTACATAAATATGTTTTCTTTATTATCAATGATGAAAACTTTGTAAGTTGAAACGTTTGAAATTCATAGTGTTATACGAATGTAATAAAAAACGAATTTTATTAATTACTACATTTGCTTTTTTTAAAAAGCCTTGACATTTTAATTTATTGTATTGCATTTACATGAACTTACTTTTCTATATAAAAATTATATTATATTAGGTGTACAACTTTGCTTCCGTCGTTTTCCTATAGATGGCTTTAGCGGTAAGTGGTGGTCGAAATAAATAGATCATAGACGTCATACAATAAACTTGGGCATCTGTCAACATAACCCCATAGAAACATCAGTCGATTTGTGTCTGCATCATAAAGTTATTCTCGATTGAAAATGTCAGTTTACGAGCCAAATTCTCGTCATTTGTGGGAGGTTTTAATTTTTTGCTTCAATATGAAGAAATCTGCGGCTGAGGCTCATCGAATATGCTCTCAAATATTTATGATGAGGCCACTATTAGTGAAAGAACGTGTCGTGAGTGGTTTCAATGCTTCAAGAACGGTGATTTTGATGTCGAAGACCGGCATAGCGATGGAAGAGAAAAGGTTTTCGAAGATGCAGAATTGGAGGCATTACTTGAGCAAGACTCGTGTCAAAATCAAGAAGAATTGACACGATCATTGGGAGTGACTCAACAAGCCATTTCAAAATGCCTCAAAGCCATGGAAATGATTCAGAAGCAAGGAAATTAAGTGCCGTACGAATTGAAGCCGAGAGATGTTGAACGGTGTTTGTTTGCTTGTGAACAGCTGCTTGCCAAGCAGCTGTTCACAAGCAAACAAACAAAGGCAAAGACGGAAGAGATTTCTGCATCTCATTGTGATTGGGGACGAAAAATAGGTTCATTACGATAATCCCAAGCGTAGAAAATCATGGGGAGTTCCCGGCCATGCTTCCACGTCGACGGCCAAATCGAATATTCACGGCTCCAAGGTCATGCTCTGTATTTGGTGGGACCAGCTCGACGTAGTGTATTATGAACTGTTAAAACCGACTGAAACAATCACAGGCGATCGGTATCGAACGCAATTGATGCGTTTGAGCCGAGCATTGAAAGACAAACGGCCGCAATACAATGAGAGACACGATAAAGTGATTTTGCAGCATAACAATGCTCGATCTCATGTTGCGAAAGTAGTCAAGACATACTTGGAAACGTTGAAATGGGAAGTCCTACCCCATCCGCCGTATTCTCCAGATGTTGCTCCCTCTGACTATCACTTGTTTTGATCAATGGCACACGGCCTGGCTGACCAGCACTTCCGGTGTTATGAAGAAGTAAAAAATTGGATTCGTGGATAGCCTCAAAAGATGACCAGTTTTTTCGACGCGGGATTCGTACGTTACCCGAAAGATGGGAGAAAGTAGTGGCCAGCGATGGATAATACTTTGAATCATAAATGTATAACCAGTTTTTTACAATAAAGCCTCGAATTTCGGAAAAAAACGGCGGAAGCAAAATTGTACACCTAATAATTTGTACTCCCAATACTATATATTGTTATATTATATTTTTATATTTATATCAAAAATTAAAACATTTATTAAATGTATTTTTATACAAAATGAATCTGAAATTTTTTTTCAATGCAAAACGTTTTCAACTATTATGCATGCGTGTGTAACATGCCCCAATCGTATCACCTTCTAAGATGAGGCAAATGGAGCGTGCTCTTAATTGATTCATGGTGTATGCTTTGAGGCGACGCGAACATTTAGTCGCCATATTAGTTTTGATGACGCGAACGTATTAGAGCATGTTAGGCATGTTGGAGCACACGCCGCGAACAAACCTCTAAATCCGTTCGTGTCACTAAATATTGGAGCACACAAACTGCTCCAACCGCCACCTTATCAGTGATCGAAGTGCTCTCTAGGTTAATTTGGAGCATGCGACGCGAACAAATCTTTGGGTTGCGTTCTGTTTCACGCATAATGTATCATTTATCCTTGTTATTCACCAAATATTAAATAAGAACAAATCATGCGTGAAATGGAACACATCCTTGCCCTAAATCCGTTCGTCACTGAACATTGGCACATGAATGCAATTGCTCCAACCGCCACCTGTATATGCCACCAAGTGCTCTCTGAATTAATTTGGAGCATGCGACGCGAACAAACTTTAAGGTCATTCTACATTAGTCGTATCATAGCGTTGTAAGCATCATGCGACTTTAAGAAGGTTCTACATTAGTAGCAAGCCGATCACAAGTTTGTTGCGACAGCCAATCTGAAGTCCCCATTTTGATATCAACGCTTCATTAGGTTGTCAATAAATTTGCGATCGACTTGCAACTAATGTAGATCCAATTTAAAGTCGCATGATGCTTATAACGCTTCCGATGCTACGATATGACCAATGCAGAATGGTCTTTATATTTCAAGTAAGCTGGGTTTATTCGGAGCAATTCCCGAGAGATAAAACGAACAATATATATTAAAAACAGACCTAGAGATCAATTCTGTATCTTCAAACAAGGTAAAAATTATAAAAACGAGCACTAAGTATTTAGACCAATAATCAGTATTCTAGTAAATTCGCTCACTCTTATAATTTTCACCTCACAATTTTCAAGATACAGAATCGATCCTCTAATGGGTGCATCAAGTCGACAAAGCGATTAGCCTGCTCGCCAAGTAAGAGAGCATAATTGGTTGTTATTTATAGATCCAACCAATCATATTCAATCGGTCCTACCGTTGCATGCCCTAGTCATTTTGCCGTCTTGAACTCGCTCAACTGACTTTAGGAACGGCGGAAAATGATACTTGATTGCTTGATTCTTTCTGGTTAAATAGCGCACGGAGAAGGTAGTTATGATTTTTCGTAAATTGTAATCCTTAAACATCTTATCCTATATTATTGACGAGCATTTAAATCGTATAAAATATTATTTGATAAATCTTCCTCTCATAAATTAATGCCCAAGTAATTATCATATCTGATCCGTTTGGCCGTTATTCGAAAATAATCACTTATGTCTCGAGACTCGAGATCGCTTGGTTGGGACGGACATACTTCGGTTGGAGTGTTGTATTAACATTTTTGGAAAGTGTGACCGGCTTTGAATGAGCATCGGTTCAAATTTGTTTTTGTGTATTCTGTTTTGAAATGTGATCTGACTTCTAGTATTGACTTTTAAAGACTTGTTCCTAGAAGCAGATGCTATTAATTAAGAAGAAGACACGACTGAATTACATCATGATTACGTTTATGTTGCTCGTTATTAGTTGCTTTTCATTTACACACAAGTGAAATTGAGTCTGAAGTGAGCTGAATATTTCATACTTAGATTAATGTCGTTTCTTGCTTACTTTGGTAAAAAAGTATCACATGTCAACACAGATTCATAACCTCATTTTGAAAGTGAGTTTATCAAGATTCGCTAAAGCTTATTCTACAATGTGCTTTTTGTTTTCTGTTTTCTGCAATTTTTTTACATCTTATGTTTTTGCTTCTTATCCGGTTTTTTGTTTTATATTGTCTGAGATAAAAGTTAATGAACTAATGAAGAAAAGAAATACAAATAATAACAAAACAAGAAATACATGTCGATAAAACAATTGCAAAGGAGAAAAAAGCAAAAGATAAAAAAACAAGAAACAAGAAACAAAGAGCATATTGTAGAATAGGTTTAAAATACACGGTCTCAATCTTTTGCAGATTGTAGAAACTCAATTGAATCTCATTTATCAGACTGCAAAAGGAACATGCATTTAACTGAATTATGATGTCACAAGTGATAATTGTCTGAGAATGAATTGATGTAAATAGAAAGCAACTATTATACTAGAATTATCATCTATCTTGATTTAGTAGGATTTAGCATCTTGATTTTGAAAGCGTTCTGATTTTTTTAAATAGATGAAATGTCCTGATTGCCATAGAAAATCAGTAACTCAGAAAAGTAAAGTTTTAAAACATATTTTGTATATTTTCCTATTTTGACAAAAAAAGTAGATATCCATTTCATAGGTGTCCTGTATTTATTATGGAATATTTCAGAATGAATTCGGATCGGAATTATTCTATTTTTTCCTAAAAAACACAATAAAAATCTATAGAATAATTTAATAATTTTGATTGAAATCTATTCTGATTTGTTCCCTGATAGATATCCTGATTTTTTGTATCAGTCATCTTAGTTTGTAACTAAGTTTGTAACTAAGTACTCTTAGTTTGTTACAAACTCATTCAATGCTATGGACATTAAGTTCAAGTATAAATATAATAGTTACAATAAATTAAATAGTTACGAATTTGTTGTATGCATGAGATGTGCAGGTTTATATTTTATTCAATTTAAGATATTTTTAATGTGAATCTTTTTCATGAGACAATTGCTCAAATATATGCGTTCCGAGTTATGCATGAAGTGCATAATGCATTTATTCTTTTTATTGTTTACCAATTAATAAAGAAGGATAAAACGATACATCATGTGCTTCATGTATAATTTGAAACGCACTCATAGTTATATTAAATACCATGGAAACTTTGTATCATTTTTTCAAGAGATGCTTATAAGGAGAAAAACAACATGAACTTTCCTAATATATATGTACAATCATGTACATTTGTTTTTATAATGTAATTTCATAATTACAGGTGAAAAATGGCTAAGACTTCTGAAAAGAAGGGAAAGAGTGCTATCAACGAGGTAGTGACTCGTGAATACACTGTGAATCTTCACAAGCGCCTTCATGGTGTTGGATTTAAGAAACGTGCTCCACGAGCCATCAAAGAGATCAGGAAGTTTGCAGAAAAGCAGATGGGTACACCTGATGTTAGGATAGATACGCGTCTCAATAAGCAATTGTGGTCAAAAGGCATCAGGTATCTTTCAATAAAAGCTTTCAACAAAATCACTGAAGAGTTTCAAGTTTATTATTATTTTATAATCAAGAAATTCTTTGATTATAATTCATTCAAATATAACTTCTTAATCATTAATATAGATTTAATTATCATATATTGAATAGTCAGTCATTACTGAACATCTTTTAATATATATGAGAAAATTTTTCAATTTAATATAACTTATATTTTTTATGCAGTTACAAAAATATTGATTCTATATATGAAAAAATTATTTTGAGATATATCATACATTATTTCTTTTTTTTTTTCCAGAAATGTTCCTTTCAGAGTTCGTGTAAGATTAAGCAGGAGGAGGAATGATGATGAGGACTCTGCAAATAAGTTGTATACTCTTGTAACATATATATCTGTTTCGTCATTCAAGGGACTCCAAACTGAAAATGTAGATGCTAGCCAAGATTAATGTATTTCTGTATAATAAATAATGAACTGAACTCGCAAGTATTTCTCTTATTATATATTTATCTTGAATCCATATATCCTGCACGATAATAAAATTTACAATGTTTTATTTCCATTTTATCAACTTCCAAAATATTTTTTTATATTATGGAAAATATTTAAATTAGGATTTTGTTTGTCTTTGATGATATTTTTTTGATATTTATTTCTTTTAAAAATTATATCATTTTATCTGATTTTCTTTTTTTACAGTATTTTTTTTAATTATTTATTTTCATATTTAATTTGAATAAAGAATTGAAAATTATGCAGAAAAGAGAGGAATAACACATCTTCAACATATTAATCATTAGCAACATACAAATAATTCACAAAAAGGGGATTGAGATTATATATCTCATTTTATTTTATTATAGATATATTTATCTCATAATTGTCAAAATTGCTTATTCAAATACGTAGATGTAAATTGTAGTTATTGATGAGTTATTGTTAAAATTGATCAGTGCTCTGCACAAATTTTTGTACTATGAGAAGAAGGATAACTGATATTAATTTTAAAAAAATGCATCGAAGATATAAAACAAGTATTTCAATTTTTACCAAATATTTCAATTTATACCAAATGTCACTATTTTATCATGTAACTGTTAATTATGTAATTTACAAATCTCATTAAAAAGAAAAAAAGAGCAATTATAATGGTAGCGCTATCAATCAATGATGACAAAAAATGAATATGACATAGAATATTACATATCCATTTCATTATTCTTTTCCAAAGGAAAATTAATATTAATTTTGCATATCATAACATCAGCCAACTACTTCAGATCTGAAGTGAATTCACTTTATATGTCTAATTTTTAGCATCTCATTAACTGGAAGATTCATGTAAATAGCATGTAGGTAGGTATTATAAACAATTTGTATGTCAATGTATCATACTGCATACAGGACTTCGCAGGCGTGAGGCGAATGGCAATGAACTTGGCGCGCATACGTACATCCACAGTTTAGCGGCACTGTGCAGTTAGGTATATCGCGGGTCACGAGTCGCGCTCGTGGTTTTGCGCGATTGGCTGAGGCCCTGAGACCTGAGGCTCGGTCTGATCAGTATGCGCCTGACGGCGCCTCCGGCACGACCGTGGATCGCGGTGTTGTGGTGCGAGGTGCACCGTCCGCGATGGAGCTGCGCGAGATGAGCCGCGCGTACGGCACTGCGGAAGCGGAGGAGACTGCCGAACTCCTGCCGCAGCACGACAACGCGTCCGAATATGAGAGCTACTTCATCGAATATGCGATGCAGAAGGAGATGATCAATCGTAATCGGTGCCCCGCGAGCCGACGGTTGCTCAGCCAAGCCGCACACCTGGACTTTAATTTTCCCAACAGCAATCATTCCAAGGTTGGTCATCCAAATTGGAGTCTCTTGGAATCGTGATTGTCCACGTTTCTCCTTCATTCTAGGGCCTTCATTTAGTCTCAGACAAGCTTTTCAGACAAGTTTCTCCGCGAAAAATCGCCCTGTCAATTCGGTGGAGCACGAGAATTTCGATTTCACAAATGCTCATTAATAATCAGAAAGAGAGACACTGGCTCAGGATTCGCGTTATCTTAAAATTAACATTGCATTGGAAAAGCAGAGCTTCAGATACTCTCATATTTTTCTTCTCATATTTTTCTTTCTTTAACTTGAAAGTTGACAACCTAGGAAAAATATAAAAAATCTTATTCTGTGTACATCTGTGCATATCAATTATTTTTTGTTTTAATAATTTCAAAGCATTTTGGATTACACATCACAACGCTATATTACATAAAATTACATATATTCTCTTTGATGTTTTTTTTAATCTGTTTTATTAGTAGGTATATATATATATATATATATATGTATATAAATACTACGTAGTTTTTGTAATAATGCAACTTTATACGCGCGACATTAATTTATAAATTTCTGAGTTATAATTAATTTATGAATATTTATTACTATTAATTTATCTTCAATATTTTATCATTATCTTCAATATTTAATTATATTAAATTAATATTTATTCATTTATTTGGAAATTAGACATTTCATTCAACTTTCGTAGCTTCTCTCTCTCTCTCTTCCTCTCTCTCTTCCTTTCACTTTTCCTCCCTCCCTTCCTCTTTTCCTTCCACTTTCCCTCCCTCCCTTCCTCCTTCTCTCTCTCGTCGTGAATTTATATATTTCTTAAATAGATCTTTTAAACTCTTCTCTTTTTACATTTGGAAAACAAAAAGAGATTCTTTTCTTGGTGACTCTTAAGGATTTATGTTTTTTGAACAAGTCTTACATTATTATAAATTAAGATGAACAGTGTCTCTACAAAAGTCTTAAATTTTTTAATTTGATCTCTGTCAGGATTCACCATGTGCCGGAATCACCATGATCCACACTTCGAGCGAAAACTGGCCGCCCTCCAGAAAGCGCGAAGAGGCAAAGGCCTTGGAGAATCTTAAGAAGAGACTAGAACAGAGCAAATTATACAAGACGAATCGAATTACTGATCATAGTCATTTACCCATCATAGCCACCACGTCTTCGATAAACTACAAGCTAACTCAACAACAATTGAACAATCGACCGAAACTTCTGAAAAAGGTAGACGATGGAAATCTCATGATACACGCTCAGAAAGATATTGTCTTATTCGATTTAAAGTGAAATGATTTTGATTTTGGATAAATTCATTTAATAATTTAGTCTCTTAAATAGAAGGAAAAAGCATACAGCCACATACGCAAGATATTTTTTGTCAAAGCGAATACGAACTTCACTTCGATATCTTAATTAGCGTTTTATTATTTAATATCTCGCATTCTTTTGTGATACTGATGATAGCCAAGACTTGGCTGAAAGCCATTTACATTTAATTTTTAAAATATATGACTTTGGCAAAAAATATCTTGCGTATGTAGCTGTATACTTCTTCCTATTTATGTTTTATGTTATTGAGCCACCTCTAATAACTATTGTAAAATTTAGTCTCTTCCTTCCTTTCTTTTTTATTTAGTTCTTTCTTTTCTCTTGAGAATCGCGTTTAATTGCTAGATGATCTAATGACTTGGATTCCAAATTATGTTAACTCTGAAAGATCAGGATTACATTGAATATAATTCTAAAAAAATAAGAAATTGTCATGCTGCATTATCAAATCTAAATATTATTCTGTCATTTTTAGAATAATTGCGAAATGTGAAGTTGATATTAACTGTGAGATCATATTTTCTTGTATATCCAGACAATTAAAGATTAATGTTATGCGCTGGATACGTCTCAGGTTCGCGGAATAATATAATTTCCATTGTGTCCTTGGCTTACTCGATGTATGACTGTTTTCGGAAATGGAATATGAAATCAAAAGAGCGAAGGAGCACGCGCGCAAAGTACTTGGGTCGATAACTTTAAAGTCAGGAGCGGCATACTGTTGTCTTGGTTCCTATGCATCACTATGCCGTAGAATAATAAATACAATTAGGAAATTGCACCATTGCATTGGTCTATACCTATACAATTTTTCTTTCAGTTGACTTTCATTCTAACGAATTTTCGATTTGATCATTTGCACGAAATAATTCTACACGCAAATTAAAGATTCCTTCATATTGAGATCTGAAATGCAATGCTCCGAGTCTGAAGACTGAATACCACAGTGGCCTTTAAATTTTAAAAGAAAATTAAAATGAAAGATGTAGATATCTAAGAATTTATTCAGAAGTATAGTTCAATTTAAGAATTTAGATATTAATGGAATCTACAGAAATTCGAAAGAAATTATAAATTTCAATATTTGCAAGTTCGATGATTCCAAGATTTATATGACTCGCGTAAGGACATAAGATTTCGAGAATTTATCCAAAACTGTGAATTTAGAAATTCGCGAGAGTTTAAGAATCTACATTTTATAATTAAAAAATCTCAAGATTCATGGCGCCATTCTTACAAAAATTTAATACTGGAAGGTAGTGATTAATTACTAATTATAAGTACTGAACAATAGTATTTTTAATGTTTAAAATAGATAATTAATTAATATCTTTCACTTTAAATATATTAAATTGTCCAATATTGGATTTCTATAAGGATATTCGAAGAAAGCAAACATCTTAAATCGAAACATGAGAACAGAATTGCATGATGTCGCACGCAACATATCGTGTAAATCGTAGATGGCGGAATGATCCTGCATGTATCACAAGAGATTTTCTTGCAGATACTAAGCAACCGACCGATGAGTATCACATATGATAGGAGTGACTTGGAAACTGATTGGCGCGACAGCGAATTTATCACCGAGTGTCTTTGCTGGCACAACGTTTATCGGCAACGGCATAACGCACCTCCGTTGACTATGTCACCGCAGGTAATAAAACAAGAATGATGACGGTCGAAAGTCATGTCATAAACTTAAATGATATTTATATTTAACGTATATACTTATATATGTTATTACTCAACGTGTTGCAGTTGTGCGAGTACGCTCAATCATGGGCAAATCATTTGGCGCACACGAACACATTCTATTATAAAAATGATCGGAATGTAGGTCACAATCTTTATTGTCGTCCTGGTGGTGCGGTACCTGGCGACATCACGGGACAGGAAGTCGCGTCTTATTGGTATTCCGCTGTGAAACAATACGACTTTCTCAAGGAACCGGATGTTCTCCACGCCAATGTAAACGCAGGTAAAAAAGAGATTATAGTGTCTAGAATTAAGAAAGCTGTCAACTACGATTTAGAGATGAAAGAAGATAAATTTTATAAGTATTTGCTCTCTAATTTATTATATTATACGGAGTGGGGCAATAATTTTGTCCACCTTGAATATCTCCGTTATTTTTAAAGATGAAAATATTGTAATTATAAAAATTGTACGGTATTAACAGGATCCTAATATATTATATGTTGATAATAATTTTTCTAGGTGGAGGCCTTGAAATCTTCAGAGATTTCAAGGTTACCTCCATTTTTTTAAATATCATGCTTTACTTTTTTGATCTTAGTGTAATAGCGGGTGTTTAGATGATTTCAATGATCTATAATAAAAATCATTCGTCATTAAATAAAAAAGTAAAACAATGATTCTTACGTCACAAGAAATGCTCGAAGTGATGTCCATTTACATCAATGCAACACTGCAATCGTTGAATTCCTGAAGCATATACATTCTTAACATTTTCGAATTGATTGTTGCATATGCTACAATAATTCGTTGTTTCATATTTCCCAATATAATCGGTACTTCCTGGTATATAATGTTTTTTAATGTTCCCCATAAAAAAAAGTTGAACAATTTTATGTCAGGTGAACGAGCTGGCCACGAAATCGGCCCACCGCGTCCTATCCATCGATTTGGGAAGATTTTATTGAGTGTAGCTCTTACTCTACATTCATAATATGCGGAGCATCCATCGTGTTGATATCGTTAATATCACATTACTCGGCGAATGTTCAATTGTATATCTTCTAATAAAATTCTGAGATGGTTGCGTATAAAGTTATCATATATATTTTATGCTATTAAGTGTTCCGTTGATGAAATATGGACCGATTAATTTGTCGCCTATGATACCGCACCATACATTTACCGACTGTCATTGATGATCAGTTTCTCTTAACTCTCTGGATTCTCATCAGAGGACCAGCATAATGCATATTATGCAAATTTACAAGACTATAATTAATAAAACTTGCTTCATCGAAAATTAATGAAAAAAAAAAATAATGAAGAAAAAAAAATTGTTAATGTGCATTTGATGCTGCATTCACTGACAAAAAAAACGTAACACGATTTTCAAATTCATACCGTGTACATTCTGATGAAGGTTAATGCGATACTGATCGAATTGGATGGAATTTATGTTTAACAAGAATTCGTAATATGCTTCTTTTATTAATGTCTGACTCACATCTTGAACTAATCTGAGAATTAGCATTCACTATTGCAAGCACATTGATTTCGTTGTCTTGATGACACTCTTTTTAGACTTTCAAATTTTTGCGTAGTCAAGCTTCCGGTTTCTTTTAATTTTTTATAAATTCATTGAAACATGATGTGAAGGATGCATTTGATCTGTATACGTAATTCAATATATAATGCTTGCGCCCTTATTGAATTTTTGCTGAACTCCATAAATGAGGAATATATCTATTTATTTAGCAAATGAAAATTTCATTTTCACATTAATTTGTCACCAAAATCACAAAAGAGTTGAATTACATGAAGTAATCACCTTCTGAAAGATCTATTGATACTAAACTTAGAATAATTTATTTTAGCTCGAAGTTCCACAAATCCTTCTAGATTTATAGAATTCATAGTAAGAATTAGTAAAAAATATAAATATTTACATTTTTTATTGTAATATAACGAATATTAATATTGTATATTGTATACTAGGATATTGTATACTAGGAAGTGCCGAGCACACCAGAAAATATGAAGAAAACGAATATAGGCTGCGTTCAGCGAACTCAGTTTACGAGTGCTCACTGCTATTGATATATATATATATATGTGTATATATATATAT